CCCCAATCTAACCTAATTTTACTACATATGTTTATTACCACACCCTTACAATATATATTTGCATAAAAACCCCCAAGCATCATAACTTTGTTCTCCCTTTGCATTAAACCCTTTATTGGGATAACCCAACAAAACATACATAATATATTCATAGGGAAAACCCATCACAAATATTATCAAAAACCTATTCCCACGCATACACAACCCTTGCCCAACAATAGCAACAACTAATCATAATCATAATCATATAAACATATACTAAACAAAGATTTTCATGTAAGTGAATCCATAATACATAGCATACAATAAACAATGATAAGCTTCCACATACCTTGGCCAATACTAGAGTTTTATCTAACTTCAAAACATCACAAATCCTCCTTTGCGCTAAGGTTTTCTGTAGCTCTTCCTCTTTTCTACTAGAAAACACCTTTTCTCTCTCTTACCTCTCTCAATTTCGTTTTTAGATATAGAGAACAATGTGTAAACCCTAGTTTCCCTTATCCTTTTTATCTTCTTTTAATCTTTCTCTATCTTTTTGGATTTAATAAAATCTCTCACTTTATCTCTAAAACCACTAAGATTTCCTCTCTTATTCTCTCTTAACTACTTTTTAAAATATCAGCAACCACTAAATATCACCACTATTCATGTAATGTTTCAATTTTATTTCATATTTAATTTTTTAATTCTTTTTCTTTCTACACTCCCTTAACTTAATTTCTGCACAACTTAATAAAGGCATCATTTTATCCTTGGGCCTAAAATTTAAATAAAACAAAAGTTACCTTAACTCTCTTTCTCTCTAGAATTGAACCCACACCCATTGAATCCTAAACTACCCTTCTATCAACAAGCCAACACACTACATTGGTAATATCACACACACACACCCATAAATAATCAAAATAACAATATATTAATCATATGTTTCACTTAATCATCAATATCATTAAATAATTACTTAGCAATTATAATTCTAAAAAGAAACACTTAAACACTAAACATAAATTATCAAACAATAATACTCAAGTCTCATAACCCCTTTTCTTCCCTATTTACCACATTTTTTTTTGGATCTTACAATGATATTAATATATTAACCTATGTTTCAAATGTTTCAAAATTAATAAGAGTTGTAAGTAGGCCTAGAGCACAACAAATTCAAATAATCTATCCAAAGGTTGGGTTTCATTGATCTTTAACTTATTGATTTTTGTATGTGAAATTTAGACCATCATATTTGACTATTTTCTTTGTCATATTGAGTGTAACAAGTAGTCATATTCCTGGGCATGTAGGTACTACATCATGTCTTGGATCAAGACCATCATCTGAGCATGAATTAGAGATGATTGGATTGAGGTAATAATATATCTTTAATATCTTACAAATCACATTCAAGTTTGAAACGTTAGAATGCAAATATAATAAAGTTGTCCTATTTTTGTAACGGTTTAACAATTCATCCCCAATAACAGAGGTTACAATGATGAAGATACGACAAGAATAGAGTACATATCTTTTGGAGAGATGAAGTTAAGCATACAATAGTTCAGTTTCAATACTTTGTGTTTTGATAGCTTTAGTTTTTAGTTTGAATTGTGATAACTTTAATTTTAGTTTGAATTGTGATTAGTGCAGAGTTTGTTCATGAGTTCTCGATATTTGAAATGCCAAAACTAGTGTTTTGTTTTTACAGGTTTAGTAAAATTGTAGAAACGAATCTTATATATATAAAAAAACACAGAAGAGACATCAGAAAATGCATTTTTCGACATCAATTGACGTCGAAACATTTTCGGCATCAATTGACGTTAAAAGTGCACTTTCAGTTGTCAAAAGCCTTACAATGTAATTTTTAGAGACTATCTCATAAACCTATGCTAAGCGGGAAAAATGTGTCACTTAAGATTATAGAACATAAAAATTGTTTGGTTTTTGATGTCATTTAACATCTTTTTTTTTACCTTTGGACGTAGTTGATGTTTTGAGAAATGTTAAAGGTAAAAGATAACATACGTTAAATTTCTTTTTTGTAGTAATGATATAAAATCCAGTGTGTAAGAACTTAATATTATTAAAAGTTATGAAATTGATGTACATGCTACGAAGGTTGCTTCTTATGTTCATTCTTTTTTTTCATCCAACTTATGGCTTAACTAAGAGTTCTATTGGGAAATCTAATTGTGGGTGTATTTTTCGTGGCCATCATGCTTTCATTCTCATCATATCATACTATAAAGAAAGAATGAAATATATGTTGAGGGTATGAGTTTAACTATCAAAGTTGTTATATCTAAGGGTTGACCTAATATTTGAATTGAGTGTGACTCTCAGTTTGTTAAAAACTCAGAATTATACTTCTAACGTTAAAAACTCAGAATTATACTTCTAACGTTACATAAAATATTTGTAGAGTACATGGCCGAATTGTTTTCTCAATATCAAGAATATTTATATGTATTCATCTTATATATTTTTAAAGATGATAATAATTGTTTTTAAAGAATATTTGTACTTGATGACCTAATGTTGCCCATTTTTGTACTTTTTCAATTTTTAATGATATTTTAAAATATTTTGCATATTTTTCAATTTCTAATGGTGTTTTAAAATGTTTTGCATAACGAATATTATTTATGGTGTCAACCTAATTATTAAGACAAGAAATAATAAAGTGATGATTAAACACTCCATCTTCTATTAAAAAGGCAACAAATAAAGTTGTAACCAACTCAACCAAAAGCTTACTTTTACGTTTTTCTTTTATTTTAAATAAAAATTTATGTATTTATACAAGCAATGTTAATTCTGAAAATACACATAAAAAGTTCTTCATACTTATTCTAATTAACGTCATATTTAAGGAAAAATTCTTACAAACACTAAGAAGAATTTTTTGTTTTTTTGTTTTCTCAGAAAACAACATTCTCCCAAAACAAGATCCTTGCAATGCTGGATCCTAATTAATCTGAAAGAAACTTGGGTATCAATTTGTTCTGATTGTACACTTTATTCATAAATTACAAACATAGTTTTAGAAATCAACATGAAGATTTTGTAAAAGTTTCCTGTTTTAATTGCTATGAAGTTAATTACTATCTAACAAGAACAACAAATTGAGTCGAAATTTATGTATCCTAAAAGATAGACAAAACATTAATTTATACTAAAATAATGAAACACAACCTACTGCGCTTGCACTAAATAGTCGGCTTCATGTTTCTACCATTTAAAACCAAATATAGATGACATTTTCGGAAGCAAGAAAGCGAATATTGAAAAAGGAAGCACAAGTTCCAACTGCTTGAATTGAATATCCAAATTCATGGGTACAAGAAACTCAGAATTTGGGAATATCAAATAAATTATAGTAAGAAAAACATGAACATATCGAAGAATCTAAAAACTTAACTATATTATATTTTATATTGATGATGAAAAATTGGTATTAATATTTAAAAGGAAAGGAAGAAGCAGAAAAACAAAATCCACGTAACCTAATGTGAATTAAATCATGGCGATCTTCTGCTGGACCAGTAATCAAAGTAGACCAAACCCAAAACAGTTTGTGGGTCCAAATATTTAATGTGACCTCTTCAGAGATGAAGCTAAAGTAGCTCTTTACACCTGTGAAGTAAATATTGTAGGGTAGTGATTTTCTTTCATGATATTAATTAATTAATTATAGTTTTTATTCAGACATTACTACTTGCTTGCTGCTGCTGCTGACCACTGGTCTTGCTTCTTTGGCTCTATCATTCTGGCTCTGAAGCAGAGTGGTTGGACCTATAACAGATAGCTGTTGAAGCAGCAGGCATGGCAGCTACAACATTTGTATTTTTCTCTCACTATTAGAGAAACTCTCTCATTATTGGGTACAACCAGTGATTGTTATTTTGTTTCAGATCAAGTCAAACAACCCAATAATTAATATTAATGCCACTTACATATATTTTTTAGAGTTTAAATTATATTTTATGACATTTTAGATATTAAATAAAATATGTTAAGATAATAAATAATACTTACCTTTTTGTGGGTCGAAGGTTTGGTTAACTTAAAATATGACTAATTCATTAGAATAATATGATAGGAATTATAAAAATATCATATTTTAAAAAACATTACTAATATAATCCCAGTAAACAGTCTTAAGCATTTATAATGGAGAGTTTATTTTATATTATTTGTAAGTTTGAAAGAATTTGTAGTAAAAGGTCAACCGTTATTATCACTCTAGAGTTGAGATGCTTTGTAGTGATACATTGAACTTGAACTTCCATCTATCTTTAAGCAAATTTTATCTCAAAATTTGAAGAGTTGTGTAGGAATAAAAAATTTTTGATCTATGAGTAAGTCTTTTGTTACTTAAAATGATAAAAACTTTACTTACAAATATTAACAAATAAAAGAATATATTTATTATATACAAAATGTGTAACTTAAAATAGTCTTGTTAATTAATAAAACAAATTTTAATAAGAATAATTAGAAACAAATAATAATTATATAAGAAAATAAAGTATAATGACAAAAGAAGTTAAAGATACATACTTTAATTTTAATATAAGAACTGAAGAAGGTAAATAACTCTGATACGAAACAAAAATAAGAAAACACAGTATGTATCTGAACTAGAATGTCGAAAATGAATATAGAGTTTAAGATGAGAAAAACCAGGAAAGAATAAGGGAGTAAAAGAAGAAAAATAAAAGTAGAATATTTGAAGTACTGAATCACTAACATCACTTAAGAGAGAGGAAAAAATGAGAATGATTAACGTTAACATAACAAGGGGACGAAAGTGTACAGCTTTTACATGGTGAAACTGTGATATTTTTATAACACCCTCCTATTTAACAGGAAAAAAAATACAGACATATTTATATATATATATATATATATATATATATATATATATATATATATATATATATATATATATATATACATACATACATACATAGAGAGATAGTGAGAGGGAAGAGCTGAAATATACGCCATAAGAGTGTGAAATCAGGGAAAAAGTGCAGAGACAGTGAGAGCCTGAGAGTCGTGGGTGTGTGGTTATCAGTACTTAGCCAAACCCTGCAAATTAGGCTTGCGTATTTCAAAATCGAAACCCAATCTCACTTTTCTCTACCACTTTTACACTTACAAAAACCTTCAACACCATATCAGAGTAAAACTAACAATTTGCCTCACGCTCTCTAAGCCATATATAAACATGTTGGATTACGAATGGAACTCATCAATGATACTCCTCGCCGGAAATGAACTCACCGCCGGCGAACCCGACCAAACGCGCCGGCAAATTTTCGACCACAACTTTGCCATGTTAACTGACCCCATTCTACATGGCTCAACACCAACACCCACCACTGCTTTCTCGATTCACCACCCCTTCAACCCACCACCACAACAGCAGCACCACCATCACAACCCCCAGCAGCACTTCTTCGACCCACGCGCCTTCCAAAGCGCGTCCTCCGCTTCCTTCTCGCCACCACCTTCGGTGCTCTCACTTAACCCAATCCCACCTCTAGCTCGCTCCCACTGTGGACTTGGGCCTGGCTCCGGGCTTGGGTTTCTGCTCATGTCCAAGTCTGAGGATGTGACTTCGCCCGTTAACTTTGAGTGCTCTGGTCATGGTTTCGGGCCTGGACCCGGGCTTGGACTCAACCTCGGTGGTCGCACTTATTTTGCCGCTTCCAACGAAGACACCCTGGACAGATTCTACCGTTGCAAGACGGTGGAATCGGTTTCCACCGTGGCGTCAAATTTGCCACGCTGTCAAGCAGAAGGTTGTAACACGGACCTCTCCGAAGCCAAGCACTACCACCGCCGCCACAAGGTGTGTGAGTTCCACTCCAAGGCCGCCACCGTCATTGCCGCCGGGTTGACTCAGCGATTCTGCCAGCAGTGCAGCAGGTTGTGGTCTTTAGGGGAGGGGGTTTTACACAATTACGAATTTGCCACTGGCCGTTGTAGTTTGAACCAATCATTGGCTTCGGGGTGATCCTTTGGGTATTTCCGTCCGGTTCAGGAAATTTCCCTCTTTCTCTTCCATTTTTGTTCTTTTTGCATTGCTTGTTATAGTAGTGCAATTACCCAAACCCTTAACTGTGCTCTTTCATATCATAATTAATTATCTTTCATAATTATAATATATGAAAAAAAAAAAGGAAACTAACACCTTACACCCCATGTTTTTCTACCCAATCAACTTTTTAATAGGTTGAGTTAATTTCGATTCCAAACCGTTAGAAGGAAAATATCCTCTCTTTTTTCTTCGATGTTGAAAGGAAGTATCTTTTGTCACTCCAAAATTAATTATTTTCGGTATAAAAAATTCATTATATTTTATTTTTCATTATTTTGTCGCATGAAAACAACTATTTATACCATCTATTTCAGAGTTAACTTATTCTTATTTCATCTTAAAGACAAGTTGTGAAATTACATGAAGGCATCACGTCGGTGGTTTCCTAGAATGCAGTCGGAAGGATGAGATCAGAAATACGAGAATGTCATTTGGAACATTGTTTTTTGTCCCGTGATTCCGTAACGAGGGCATTCGCGTCCCTAAAATTTTCTAACATCGCCGACGTACTACCAGTACTATCCTGTTTTTACGTTTTTTTAGCTGAAGCATTGAATTGCAACTTCAATAAATGAGATTCTCTATTTTCTATGGGTTACTTTACAACAATTGCAGCTTCATTGTTGATTTTAAGTGAAAGGTACCTTTTTTAGTTTGACATGTGTTAATTGATTTTAGTTTGGTTTTGCAGATTCCATCTTCTTTCAGAATTTGACAATGGGAAACGGAGCTGCAGGAAGAGACTGGCAGATCACAATCGTCGCAGAAGAAAAACTCAGCAGGCAACTCAAGACATTCACAAATCTCAGCCTTCTTTGGACAATGTTACATGTACGGCTTCTTCTCTTTTCTTCATTCTCTTTCTCTTACCCTTCATAAACAACAAGTACACAATATCTTAAATTCTCCTTAATCATTTCAAACACACTTTTAATTGTATATAATGAACACTGTTCCAGGATTCGCACTACTTTGTACTTGTGCTTTTCTAGAATAATGGAAATTCTCTTTTTCTGTCTGCAATAATCACACGTTTTAGTACATAAACTGATGTACCCTTTTAAACCAAGAGTTGAATAAATCGATTAGGCCATAATTGTGATGTGGTAGTGATTAACCACATGAATCTGGCAGGGTCCTCTTCTGAATCTGGAGCTCAATCTTCGTCATCAATGAAGGTGGCAGTGTCACCCCCAGATTATTTTCAGCAAAATAGAGGCACTTCGTCAACATCATCATCTGGGTCATTGTTTTTCTCAAGTGGGGCCAATTTGCATGGCTAATAGTACCCATGCCATTAATTATAAAGGAACGGAATCAACAATAATGTACTGAACTTCCTCTTGTAAAACTTTAATCTGGAGAGTCTGATCTGTGAAATTGATTTTGGGCATCTCTGATTTGAGCTTTCACTGTTGTGAATTTTGGTAAGGTAAATGGCAGAAGGGAAAAAGTAAGAACTAAAATTGAACACTACTATTTGGATTTTCCCGTAAATAGTGGCGTTTGGGTATCAGAGAAAGTCGGGGGCAGCTGAGCAGAAGTGTTCAGACTACTGCCCTAGGGCACCTTCATTTTGTGGCATTGACTTTGTCTGCGCTGGAATTTCTCTGAAATATGCAGCAATTATATGCATTACTCACCCATTCCATTATACAGATGTTGGAAAATCTACCCACACCAATTTCTAGAACAAAATCAAAAATTTTACTTTTTCACAATTTAAATTTAGTTTATATATAAGCTAAGGACATCTTTGGTTTGATGGAAGATTAAATAAAATATAGATCTCTTAATTCATATTTAAGCTGCAACTATATTTTCACATGTGAATTTCAGACAATAAATATTATATTGGACATGCATTGGTTTGCAAAAACTATTTTACATTATTTTTTTAAATATGTATTTTTAGCTTGTGTATAAATTATTTTACTATTTAGAGAGGTCAATTTCAATTCTTTTTAATTTTTTTTTCTGAACATTGTGACGTAAACACTTGTATATTTTCTAGGAATATTAAAATATTATTCAATTATATTTAAATAACTTTATATTCAAAATTAGACTATGATGTATAATCAACACTAGTGTTTGGATTAGGAGTGGATGTGAGGTTAGGGAGTAAAATGATTTGAGATGATGAAAACGATGGAGAGGAGATTATAGTGTTGTTTGGAATAAAAGGATTTGAAACTATAGATGAAGATATTTGAGTTCAAAGTTTACGAGAATTTGTGAATGATCTGCATACTATATTAAAATAATTCATAAAAATAAATTATTATCAATTTATCTTTGTGTAAAAATTTGATATAAATCTAAATTTAAGTAATGGAACTTATATTAAAAGGAAATTGAATTTGTTATTGATAAAAAAATTAAAATTACAAAATTAAATTAAAATTTAGAAAAGGGATTTGTAAGAATAAATTTCAAAAACATTTCTTAAATAATAAATTGTATATTATTATTTAAATTATTGCTAACCAAAAATATATTAAATTTCACATAGTAAATAAAAATTGTCCATATTCACAGTATTGAACACAAAATACAATTCATTAATATAAACTAAATAAATTAAATTTAACAATTTTGGAAAGTTATTTAACATAGTGCATCAATTTAATCTTCCAAAGTTTGCAATATTGAATAGGTGTTGTTCAATTCTTGCCTCATAATTAATGTCAAATTGGAAAGGCTATCTTAGATGTTATTAATTTTGTCCATAATTTGTGTAAACTTGTCATCTTCATTTGGGACTCCATCTAATTGTATTGTTTGTTGTTGAATTTGGGGTTGTGGTCAAATGTTAGCTACATCTTCTACAACATTTAGAGCGTCTTCATTAGCATAAACATCTTCTATGCTTCCATGTTGCCAAATGTCATCGACATTAACAATGTACAATTGGGACAATGTTCTTGTACCAAAGTAGTGATTCCATCCCAATCCATAACTTAAATCAACTTCAAAGAGAACAAGTATTCTTGTAATCAATATTGCGTACTGAAGAGACATGTTGTTCCTGTATTTTACCATGTGATGCATAATGTGATGTGACTAGTTAATGACAATGTTATTTTTCAAACACCACAAGAAGAATATGTTCTCATGAGTTAGTTTAACAAGATTTGTACCCTGAAGTGACAATATATGAACAAGCATATAATGCAAGAGTTTATCATTGATATTTAAACTCCATGCAAGTGAGGTCTGACCATGGAATTTAAAGCTTTAAGCTTGTTGTACTGTATGTCTTTAGGTATGGGTTGAAATGATAACTTTCGACCTTCATACGATAGATTACAGCAAGTGATCCAATATGTAAGTTTGATTCTAATATTTTTCGATTTCACTTCACTAGAGATATAACCATTAACGCTAACTTTGAGGTTTGTGTATAATACTTTAATGAGTTCAACATAGTAAGTGAGACTATGAATCTTCACTAAAAAATTTAAACCTTGAAATAGTAGTGGTTATATGAAGTCCAACCCCGATTCGTCAAAGAACAACGAGACCATGATTTTATGTGACAGTACATGTCATATAAAGAAGTGGGCATTATATTCTTTCATTTGGGCTAAACAAGCAAGAGCGAGAAAAAACCTAAAAACCACAAAAGGCTCAATCAACGCAACAATGCTAGATCTAGAGACAGAAGGTCGTGGTGACTCCAAAGAAGGTGGTCAGTGTTGGAGACAACGAGGCACGTGTTGTTGGAAAGGACGACTGCAACGAACTGTGATCGACACATGATAATGCTTTTAGACTCTAATGGCAGCAATTTCAATGGTGATGTGATTGCGTGGCCGAGATGTGGAAATCCGTGTGGTAACCTATCAGGGATGACGAAAGTTTTTCTAAAAAACCTTAGGCTCTAGATACTATGTTCAATATAATAAAAACTATGTATGAGATTAATATCTCTTGTATTGAATATACACATACGATACTATATTTATAATAGAAGAAATATGGGGTAAACTCAAAATACAAATAAAAAATAATAAGAAACTAACTAGAGATAAAATATAAAGAAAATATATCTATCTAAGATATCTAATAATCTAATATATCTAACAAAAACCAAAGAAACATGTTCTACTTAACAAGGTCAAAGATACCAACCAAACAATATATTAATACCAAAATATTTTTCTAAAATAAACATAACTATAGTCCATACACACATATGTTGCTTCCATTCACGAACCATGTTAAATTAAAACGATCTAAATTGACTAACCTTTTCAATAAGTAGATGGTAGAAGGTGAACCACAAGCATGCAACCCCTTCTTTGAAGAAGAACAACAAGTGCAAACCTTTTCCTTCTCCAACAAAATCACACAAACACGAATGCCCTTAATTTAAGAACCATCACGCTAGATGCGACGTTGTTGTGAACGAAGAGCATCGACCACTCACGAAGACTAACCACAAGCAAGAACCACGACATTGAAGCAACACCAACAACAAACCTACAAAAGTGCACATAAGAAATGAATCACACATTAAAAACATCACACCACAAACATTTTGATGGACCCATGAAGGAAACAACCAATTTGAGGATACATTCCATTATAGAGGAATCAAATTCATTATCAACAAATATGAAGGGAATCAATTCTACTCACCTTGTAACACAAAAATCACATCATCAATTCAATGGTGCAAAGAATCAATTCCAACATCCATAAACAACTTCCGAATCCTCAAGTATTGATTCCGTCAAACCCATAATCGATTCCAACACCAAGGGAATAGATTACACCACTCCCATAATTGATTCCCCCACCTTTTTAACACTTCAAGAATCGATCCCAACCTTTACATTACACACCTAGAATTGATTCCATGCTAACACCACTACACACAAAATCCATTCTCTCTCCCTTTTACATAGCGAAGAATCAGTTCCCTCTCACATAATTGATTCCAACCTCTATGCATTCACTCCCAAACGTGAAACCCAACATTCCTAGCAGCACATGCATTTTCTCCATGGTTGAGTAGTAGGACCTTCAACACTGAAACAACATAACAACACTAAGTTTCTAACCATGAAGATTAGACACCAACACTTCTCTTCTTCAAACTTCACCTCTCAACGTAGCTAACTTATATGTACGAGACTTTGCTATTACAAATAAATATGTCAAACCTTCACATTCATGGGATTTTAATAGAACCACCAACCCATTTCTTCCCCTCTATGGTCAAAGACTCAGAAAAAAAATAGAAAAGTCTGAATTGCGCATGTAGGAAATCTCACTGTATCCACGTAGGAATCTTGAGTACGTTTTAAATGAAAAGCCTTGTTTCAAAATAAAGGTAAGGTTAGTTTCACCTTTTCCAATTAGATGAACAGTCCACCATTTTATATCTTTGCATGTTGCGTGGATCAATTTCTCCCTCTCTTACGCAAATTTACACCCTCAAATTTGAACCATACATAGAAACAAAGGTGAGAACAAATAACAAATTCATCCTCACACGTCCACTCCAATAATGTGACACATAAAAGCAAACATGCTAAAAACTATTTATCGTTAGCCTTTTCTTATAGGCGTTGGATATTTTCAATACTAAATTTTGATTTTCTCGTAGTAGTGTAAGATTTTGAGATGCAAACTAAATTATTTAAAGATATTATTATAGGGTTTAATTTAAAAGAAAACTTTAATTTTTTATACTAAGTAAAATCATTTTGTTTTGAAAGTTCTACGATTTTTAATGTTATAACTATGTCTTTATAGAAGTAAGTGTTCGTTTATAGTACAAATGCCCACCACAATATAAAAATATCCACTTAATTATTTTAAAATATCTAAGATTATACTTAAAAAAAAGTCTATTTATATTTTAAAATTTTAAAACTGCCAACATTTTTCGTTCTTTTGTTGATAATTTTTGCAAATTACTAAAGTTTATATATATATATATATATATATATCTGTCTCTTATATA